GTACCTGTGATGTATTCGGTAGATCATTGATGTAGATGAGAAAGAGGAGTGGTCCAAGGACGCTTCCTTGTAGGACTCCTACTGTGATTGGTTGGGTGGAAGAGTTTGCATCATTTGCATACACATATTGAGTTCTGTTACTAAGGTATGACTTTAGGTAGTTGAGGGAGTGACCTCTGATAGCATAGTGCATTAATTTGGAGTACAGTAGTTCATGGTCGACTGTATCGAAAGCTTTTCGTAAATCAATGAAAATGCCTAGCGGGACTTCTTTCTTTTCAAGTGCGGTATATATTAGTTCTAGCATGTGTATGATAGCATCATTTGTGCTTTTATTATTCCTGAATCCAAACTGACAAGGGTTTAATATGTTGTGTGAAATGAGGTAGGAATAGATCAATATGTGAATTAATTTTTCAAAGATTTTAGAGAGCAGTGGTAAGTTAGATATTGGTCTATAGTTATTCAAGTCAGCTTGGTCACATCCTTTATGGATTGGAGTGACCCTCGCTATTTTTAGGATTATTGGGAAGGTAGACAATTCAATGGATTTGTTAACCCTTTCGGGGTTTCGGCCGTACTAGTACGGCTTACGCGCCAGGGTTTTTGACTTACTAGTACGCATAAATTCTAGTGCCCTCAAATCTAGCAGGAGAAAGCTGGTAGGCCTACATATGAAAGAATGGGTCTATGTGGTCAGTGTGCACAGTATAAAAAATCCTGCAGCACACAGTGCGTAATGAGAAAAAAAAAAACTTTGACCATGTTTTTGGTTTAAAACAGCAACTTTGCTGTGTATTTTCGTATGGTATTTATGGTTGCATTCTAGCTTTCCTGGTCTTATTTTATAGAATGGAAGACATATTACAGAAATTGAGATAATTTTGATTTTTTCACAATGAAAAGTACCTTGAAATTGAGCTCAATGTAGCAGAAATGTTCAATTTTTGCCAAGTTCAAAAGTAAACAAATCATGCCACGCATCCAATACATGTCAACTGTTGAATCTAGTATTCTTTCACAATTGCTCTGGTATTATTTATACCATTTCTACACTAATACAGTAGTCTGCATAACAGTAAATCTTCTATTTTTTGTGAGAATAAAAATTCAAAGTGGAAAGCAAAAGAAATGAAATAGCGACATGGGGATGTGACTAATGAACAGAGGGAATGTTATTTTAGTGCCAGGAATGTCTTTCTTGTTTATTCTGGACCCTATTCGGAAATTGGCATCTTTTGAAATTTGTGTGAAGTTGGCAAAATTGCTAAATTCTGACCACTTTATTAGATAGTTGAAATCGGTAAATGGGTGATTTCTTGTCCTCATTCGATAGAAAAAACGGAGTTTTAGCGAAATAATTATGATTTTTGTCGACTAGTACACTGGAATTGGCTGAAAATAGGGCTCAAAGTGGGCAAAATCGCCGATGCGTAAACATCATCAAGACTGCTAACTTCGTGAGAGCATAATTCCGTAAGTTTTCCATCAAATTTCATACTTTTGGTGTCATTATGAGTGGGAAAAGATTCTCTGTTTTCATAAGAAATTTTTTTTTTTTTTTTTTTTTTTTAAATTTGGGTGACTCTGAGAAGATGTCTCTGAGAGGGCCTGGCGACCCTCAAAGGGTTTAAGAGCGTTGCAATAATTGGTGACAATACTTGAGAAGCTTTTTTGTACATAAAAGCAGGCAAGTTGTTTGTTTCCTGCCTTGTTTTTAAGGGTGTTTATGA